GCCGACTACATTTCCCACTAAGCATAGCGGCATTTTGTCCGAATACCGGAAGTGCCGTAAGTCACGTGCTTTATTTCATTTGCTGAATTTATGCTTTTAATACTTTCATTTCTACTAGCAGAGTGTCTAATGTATTTTAGTTTTTGCCCTCTCTGTGGGCTTTTGCTTCTATGTCCCCCAATATTTGGCAGCACCTATATTACACTCCTAGCCGCCATTCGCGGCTTACCAACTACATCTCCCATAAAGCATAGCGGCATATAGTCCGAAAACCGGAAGTGCCGCGCGTCACGTGCGCATTTTTAATCATTTAATTTATGCTTTTAAAACCTTCGTTTTGGTCATCAAAGTCAATTATGAGTGTTCTTAGACCCTATACTTTGGTTTTATTGCTGTATTTTAAAGTTTTTATACTACCAAATGTAACTTAATTTTGATTGGATGGACCATTTTTGGCGCCAAATTTAAACTCCTATATAATACAACTAGCCAGGTAATGTTTGCTATTCCATTTGATAAAGTCTGTTGACGAAACGCGTTATGGATATTTTATACTGTGTATTGTAATATTAAAGCAATTTTTGGTAATTTATTTGTGCCAACTATTCTTTTTTATAGTTTTATATACACATTACTCTTTTTATACCTGGCTTTTTAGTATATTTTAGTATATTTTTAGCATTTTACTACTATATACCAACACTGACTTCGGAAGTCTCCTGCACTCCAAGAAATCCTAAAGGTGGGGATCAATCCACCTATGCTGATACACAAGAGCAGTTGGTCTGCTCCTCATTTGTAAGTACGTTTTCATCTACTTATATTAAGACTACTTAAATAGTGAGCACTATCGGTTGTCTCTCTTTTTCCTTGTTTGAGAATTGGACACCACTGACGGAGAGAAACCCACAGCATATCCCACAAGCGGGGATTATACCGCTGTATGCGCTTCTATCCTAGAGCTGGACATAAGCTCTATTAAATGTGAGTTGTTTAATATTATCTTTCCATACGTCACTTTTGGAATTATACAATACTGCACTACTGGTCGTCCTTCTCTCTCCCCTTTTGTCTTTTATATGAGTGGAACCTATACAGCTTATGAAGACTTCACTGCTGCAACACTTACTATAAAGACTATCCGCAAGGACACTTAAGTTGAACTTTTATTTTTTATTTTTATCTATTACGTTGGACATTTTTTCTTAGTCACTCTATTTTTACTCTCTTATTGGCGCAGCCTTTTATTACTGTTTTTAATGTCTATGGTTGTGTTCGCTACTTTTTTTGCCTCCTTCAATTTAGGCTCTCACTATACCATCAAGTTAAGCCTGACTGGCATCCAACATCACATGTTTCTCTACTTTCCAATAAAGCCTTTTTCCTTTCATCCTATCCAATCAGACTATACTTTAGGGTATCATAAATATGTCTAATTTGCTAGATTCAGCCCCTTTTAAGCCCCTCACTAACTCTGAAACCGCTATTTAACTGGCCTTTTACGGCTTCCTGAGGCCACAAGAATTCTCCATCAGTGGCCAACACAACTCACAAGGTTGTCTTCGAAGCACCTACCTAATTAAACATCAAGATCATTACATACTGACTCTACCCGTGACCAAAACAAGTCAACCCGTCCACACTCCATACTATCCCATGAATAATATATGGTGCTGGTGAAGGTTTTCGATTCCTACCTCCTTACCGTAACAATATCACATCTCTTCTGCTACCGTCACTTCACGGGATTATCCTCACTACATCTTAGTTCATGTTTTACGTACGGTTATTCTTAAAGGACCAGCTCAATGAGGTGGTCTGGGTGCCAGATCCCCCAGGTTTTAACCCTTCAGATGTAAAAATAGCAGTTTCAGAGAACTGCTATGTTTACATTGAGGGTTAATCCAGCCTCTAGTGGCTGTCTTCCTGACACTATAGTAATCCTTTAACAAGGCTCGGAATGAACCCTAGCCTTTATTCAGGTCACTCATATAGGATAAGGGCCGCATCTACGGCATCGAGCCAGCACGTTCCAGTCCATATAATTAAAACTCTAGGTCGCTGGAAGTCATCAGCAAATACAGCATACATACCCCAACCAGTACAGGAAATACGAAGGGCATTCGTTAAAATGTCATCTTAATGTACTTACGTTGTATTATTTTCTTTACTCAATAAATGTATTTTTGAGAATGATATGTATTCCTTTTTGCCCACTTTATTTACTGGCCTACAGCACACGTCGGTTTCGGCTCACCTCAAACGACTTTTTCCTATCACAGGTTTGCTAATATCAATCTTACTTCATATCATAATCAATGTTGTCCTGAACACAAATGGGAAAGCTTGGCCTGAAGTTGCGGGAGGGGCTTATGGACCTTTAAAAGGGACTCCCTCCTTCCCTACCCTACCGTGATTAGTCTGACGAGCTGCTGCCCCACCCTCCACTCCCTTTATTCACCATACTCTTCTAGTGTAGGCCCACTTTATTTACTGGCCTACAGCATACGTCGGTTTCGGCACACCCCTGGCGACTTTTTCCTATCACAGGTTTGCTAACAACAATCTTACAGGTTTGCCCCACCACCTGTTCCCTCGATCCTATTCCCTCGTATCTCATCTGCACTTTGTCTCCCTCTCTTGCTCTTCCTCTCACTAAAATTTTCAATCTCTCCCTTTCCTCTGGCACATTTCCCTCAACCTACAAACAACTGTAAACCCGATTCTGAAAAAGCCCAGCCTTGACCCCATATCCCTATCCAACTACCGCCCTATCTCGCTACTGCTATTTGCCTCCAAAATCCTTGAGAGAGTAGTGTACACCAGACTGACTGACCTTCTCAAATCCAACTCTCTGATTGACCCCCTTCAGTCTGGATTCCACGCTGGTCATTCTGTTGAAACGACTGTGACCAAAGTATCCAACGATTTAATTGCTGCTAAATCTTGCGGCCATTACTCTATCCTAATTCTCCTTGATCTTTCTGCTGCCTTTGACACTGTTGATCATCAACAGCTTCTTCGCATTCTCTGTAATTTTTGGTCTACAGGATATTGCTCACTCCTGGTGCTCCTCCTACCTCTCCCAGCGCTTTTAGTGTTTCTTTCTCTGACTCTGCCTCTTCCCCCCAACGACTCTCTGTCGGTGTCCCCCAAGGTTCTGTCCTTGGTCCCCTACTATTCTCTATCTAAACTGCTCCCCTTGGTAAACTCATCAGCTCCTTTGGCTTCCATTATCATTTCTATGCAGATGATACGCAAATCTTCCTGTCCTCTCCTGATCTCTCTCCGCCCATCTTGACTCATGTCTCTGACTGCCTCTCTTCGATTTCAAACTGGATGGCTGCTCACTTCCTTAAACTCAACCTGTCCAAAACAAAACTTCTGGTCTTACCTCCCTCAAGTGTTACTACTCCCATGTCTGTCTGTCTCCAAGTCAACGGCGCTACCATCACCTCTACCTCGCAGCCTGGGTGTTCTTTTTGACTCCAACCTCTCCTTCACCCCTCATGTCCAATCAATCGCCAAATCCTGTCGCTTTCATCTCAAAAATATAGCGCGCATCCGCCCCTATTTAACTCCGGATGCGGCTAAGGTGCTGGTCCGTGCTCTTGTTCTCTCTCTCGCCTTGACTACTGCAATACCTTTCTCAGTGGTCTTACGTGTTCCCTGATTGCACCGCTGCAATCTATAATAAATGCGACGGCGAGGCTCATTTTTCTGTCCGCTCACATCTTCCACGCCTCCACGCTCTGTCAGTCCCTGTATTGGCTTTCAGTTTGATATAGGGCTCAATTTAAAATTCTGGTGCTTGCTTACAAGTCCCTACATAATGCTGCTCCAACCTACCTATCCTCCCTAATACACAAGTTTGTCCCGTCGAGGTCCCTACGCTCTGCCATAGACCTACGTATTTCCTCTGTCCGTACTCCCACCTCTAATGCTCGCCTCCAAGATATCTCCAGGGCTGCACCTCTTCTGTGGAACTCCCTTCCCTTCTCCGTAAGACTTTCACCCAGTCTCCACTCATTCAAAAAAATCATTGAAAACTCACTTCAAGAAAGCATATAAATTAAACTGTTAGCAGGTTTTTATCCCCTACACCCCATGACTCCTCTCCTGCAACTGTCAAAATTTACCTACTAAGCCCTCAATGAATACTTTCTTAACAGCCTACTTCGTACCCCTACTTTTAACCTTTGTGTAACTATACCCCCTCTAGAATGTAAGCTCATTGAGCAGGGCCCTCCACCTCTCCTTTCCTCATTGAGCAGGGCCCTCCACCTCTCCTTTCCTCATTGAGCAGGGCCCTCCACCTCTCCTTTCCTCATTGAGCAGGGCACTCCACCTCTCCTTTCCTCATTGAGCAGGGCCCTCCACCTCTGTTCCTATACATCCAGTTGTCTCGTTACAATTACATGTCTGTTAGTCCACCCACTGTACAGCGCTACGGAATCTGATGGTGCTATAGAAATATTAAAATAATAATATCATAATCAATGTTGCCCTGAACACAAATATATAAAATAATATAAACAAATAAGTGTGTATATATATAAAAAAATATATAGAGCAAAAAAACAAACAAAACACGCATATGCAATTTTGAGCTATTATAATGCTTCTCAACCGTGTGACTAATCTATGGGCTATGTATATGTATATAATATATATGTGTGCGTGTTTTGGATAAAATTGTTACTGATATTTTAAAAATGATGAGATTTTGTATACAGATATGATTTATGTAATGAGTGATAATTTATAAAAATGTGCAGATCTATTGAATGCCATATAAAGTTTTCAGTTTCACGTTTAGAAAATACCTTGCTTTAGCTGTTGTGGCATAGCAAGCCTGTCATGTACTATCTTTGCACAACTACAAATAAAGATTAAGTTAAATAAAATTAACAAAAAAAAATGCATATTCAGTCACAATGATGATTTTATTACAGCGTCCTATTTATTCGGTGACAGCCTTTGAAATCAACATATTCCTGAGAAAGTCCTGACTGCACCAAACGCGTCCGATTATTTGACTGTACAGTTTTTGTTTTGGTGTGAATAACTGTAAAAAGTCACTGACCAAAATTCTTGGTAAACCTCCACCCGGCTGCTAATTTATAAAATAACCCTTTATATATATACATAAGGATTGCTGCCTCTAGAAACATGCAGAGCACCATAACCACTACACCTGGAACAGTTGTTATTGCTTTATTCCTAAAAGGTAATTTCAGAAACACACAGAGAAAAATAATATCAAAGTGAATAAAACAAACACCTTTATTGAAAAAACCCAATGCAATTACTGACAGCAGTGGCAGGGTTCTCCAGCACATTAATAGGGCAGAAGACCTTGGAACTCAAAGAGGCTGGCCGAGAATCACAATTACTGCATTGATTTCTTCTGTAGAAGATGAATTATGATTACTGCTGTAGGAAGCAGTGACTGACTTTATTTAAAGGGACACACCACTGCATACATACAAAATAAATAAAAATCACTGTTTAGTAGATATACCCATAATGAAAAAATGCATGGATTTAATTCTGCATTTCTTTCATTGGGGTAGGTCTAAAAACAGCTTGCAAACCTTCAGATCTCCTGTCTGCAATCTTTCCGAGCTCTCCCCTTCTAACCCCGCCCAGACTTTCTTCATCTGTCCAATCACAGACTCCCAATGCAGCTCAATGAGAAGTCTTTGCAAGGCAGGTGCTCTGGGCAATTGCTGCCTCTTGAGTTTAGATTAACTGAGCTAAACAAACCAGGAAGTAACAGGATCTTTTGCCTACTTGAAAGCCAGGGGGTTGTAACACCATTATTAATAAAGTTGTCAATTTCTACTGAAATCTGAATTTTTTTGTAAAATGAAAAAAAACAGGACACACTCTTCACACATAAAAAGTTTCAGCAATCTGAAGTGCTTTAGGGCTCTGGAGTGTCCATTTAACTGATCATTACTAAGAAGGGTTGGAGAAACAATTTCGTTTAAAGGGCTCTAGACTGAGGCCTGCATTTTTCTCCTCACTCTGCTCATTGTACAACTCATGCTTTTCAATGTACTCCAGAGCTGCGTCAGGCACCAAGTATCGAACACTTTGTCCTCTTCTCAAGGCCCGTCTAATTTTCGTGGAGGAAATGTCATTGCTAATCCACTCTTCCACCAGATGGATATTGTTTTTGTGTTTCCAGAGAATGTCTGACTCGTAGATGAATTTACGGATGTCATTCCCTAGTCGGCTGATGCAGACAACACCAAAGCGGGAGATGATCTCTAACACGTCTTCGTCCTTCCACAAGTTGGGGACACTCATAGACTCCAGGACGTCTGCCCCACACAGTAACCTAATTTGAGGGACCACTGCAAAACAAAGCATGGAGACATCAGACCTTCTTCATTTAACCTCCCACGGGTTGGTTTATGAAAGAGTGAAATGTAGCACGTGGACAACCGAAGTGCAAAATGTGGCAAAAAACAGAGAAAACAGAGTTAGAAACTTTTTTTTTTTTAAACATAAGCTTTGCAATCTAGTTCGCAGTTCGGTAAATATTGCTATACAATTTGTTATATAGAGATGGATGAATAGTTTAACCAATTTACCATGAACCTGCCAATACCTGGTACTTAAAGGGCTTAATGCCCTTTTTACCAATCTCATTTGTCACCTTTGCGATTTGAGCAGTTGAGGTCCGGCACATCCTGGCAGCTGCGATCTCGTTTCCTTTTGTGGCCCTTCCTGTGCGCCACCTTTTCTGGAGATTCCTGACATTCAGCCTCAAGCTTCTGCTGGTGATGTCTGGCAGGGAAATAAATACATTAATACAATGAAAGCATGAGAAAGACTTATCCAAACAAAGTCAAATTGAAAACCAGAAGCAGCACTTAGCAGATATATCATCCAAAATTCGTATCATTGATCTTGACAACTTCTAAAGCAGCTGAGAAAACCAAGGGGATTACCATAGCAGTCAATAAGATTTTGATCCCAATGGGTGCAGACATTTCGTGCCCTAATATATCAGAGACATGATCAGAGGTTTACACTTAGGAAATCACCCATCACATATTTCATAGCAGGACAATAATAAGAGCATTGTAAAGACCATAATCTGTCTTTTTCATGCAGAGTATTGCTGTATCATTTGGTGGGTTGTATTAATTTAAAGTGAGTCTGTGGACAGCCACTCGAGGCAGTCTTAGTACCCCATTGTAAACATTGCAGTTACTCTAAATCTTCAATGTTTTACATTGCAGAACTAAGTGGAACAGCGACACTGCACTTAGACCACTTCAATGAGAGGAACTATAGAGTCACTTAAATGTAAAAAAACAAAGAAAGAAACAAAGTCAAACACTAACACACTAATCAGGTACTAAGGCAGAAACTACGACATGGCACTGAACTAGGGTCAAAACAGGATTAAATAGGGATACTTAAGTTCTCCATAAACTCTGATTGATCTATATCACCCCTGCAACTCCAAAAAGTGCACAGACAAGGTCGCCTGGGTGACGCTTACAATTCAGCACCAGAAATTACGTTCCACAAACATTCAACACTTAAGGAGGTGCCATTTGGGCAGGCAGTTTTCAAATCGCTATGTAGAAGCAGGTCGTGTGACCGAACGATGCATTCAATGTGCATGACCCTGCAAGTAACTCCGAATCGGCGACGTTGATCTTGTAAATATTGAAAAAGGATAGGGGGCATTCCCGAGACCTGCATTTTGTATGAAAGGTGCTGCCGCAGTGACCAAACCTCATGCTTAAAGAGAATAAATAGTTGCAGCGCACTCAGACTACAAAAAAAATATAATACAAAGAAGGCTACTAAAATGCCTATCTGAGAATAAATATGGGGATTTGGTTCCACCATATGGCCATATGTTGTTAAGCCCACCACTACTTTCAAAGTACCCCAATATTGGTGGGTCCTACGCTAAAAATGTGGGGGACAAATTAAATAGCACTAGTGTTGAAAATGACAAGTGTTAAATTAAATCCTGATAAGAGCATAGTGAGTATACAAAAATAAGTGATGAAAGCAATTAAAAACAGTGTTAAAACTAAACAAATAATGTGTTAGTGCTAAATGGAGTATACTCACTATAGCAGATGATATCTGTGCTGACTAGAGGTGGCCACAGGTGTGTATATATATAGGAGGAGTTTCTCAATAGTCTAGTCACTTTTATTATTTTCTCTAGTCAGCACAGATATCATCTGCAATAGTGAGTATACTCCTTTTAGCACTAACACATTATTTGTTTAGTTTTAACATTGTTTTTAATTGCTTTCATCACTTATTTTTGTATACTCACTATGCTCTTATCAGGATTTAATTTAACACTTGTCATTTTCAACACTAGTACTATTTAATTTGTCCCCCACATTTTTAGCGTAGGACCCACCAATATTGGGGTACTTTGAAAGTAGTGGTGGGCTTAACAACATATGGCCATATGGTGGAACCAAATCCCCATATTTATTCTCAGATAGGCATTTTAGTAGCCTTCTTTGTATTATATTTTTTTTTTGTAGTCTGAGTGCCCTGCAACTATTTATTCTCTTATGATCTTGTAAATATTGCGACATATTGCTGAATCACTCAGGTTTTCTTTTCATTAAATATTTGTTTTGGGTGAAAACATTAATTAGCAAAAACATGACACATTGCAGATAATTACATCTAATCTTAGTAATCTAGAATACAAATAGTACTCTGCCCCTGGTAAAGGGACAGATAAGGTACCTACACAATATGGATTCTACAAAGTTTGTCCTTTGTAATTACTGCTATCTTTGAAAACAATTTACATAGTATGCCAACACATGCATGTATTTTATGTGCCCTATGCATAATGGTATGTATTATCTTTTTCCTACGTAAAATAGATAGAATTGAGAGGGAAAAAACCCCAAAACAAACAAAAAGCAAAAACTCATTAAAGTTGTGTTGGTGCCTGGACTGTACCTGTAAAGGCTATATATGAATCTCTTAAGCAGACCCAGGTACCATATGGTGCTCAACCCTTATGAGAAGTTATACGCACAAGCAATTTGTAGAGAAATAAATAGTCCCACTTGCCACAACGTGTCTTGCCTTGTTTAAAGCCATGAGATAGGGCTAAACAATCTAAGAAAGAAAGGGAAAAACAGTGCCCATGCTAATTTCCGTTAATGCATTGTCCGGTTTGTGTTAAAGATACCTCATCACCCGCACGGTCTCCACCCATTCCGTCTGTGAGCACTCCCACGCATCCACCTCCACCCAGTCGGTGTTCTTGGTTGCCAGCTCTGCCATGGCTAGGCGATGAGAGGCTTCAAGGAGTCCTTTCTTTTTGTATGCATCACCCACTGGAGAAATAATGCCTTTAACCACTTTGTACTTTCCTGTGAGCAGAAAAAGAGAAGCTATTTGATAAGGTGTACAGTTCCAATAATAGTGAAGAAGTAAGGGTGGTGCTTTTCATAGAATAGTCATCCTTCACCGTACACTCAAGCTCATGCGGCCATGCACAGGTCTTGGTAGAGAACTGCATGCTGGGATATCACATTGTAACAACATCGCATGCAGCAGGCTGGTTTACTTATAAGATAGGATGAAAACAAAAGTATTAGGCGCTCACTATAACAGTCTAGGGTGGCTGTGGGCTGCAGTAACCAGTACAACGATTCCCAGACCTTGTGAGAAGTAAGATATGAAACAGAAGAGTGGTAGGAGACCGCACCCCAAATAGTATATCAGAAAATGTATATAGGTATATACATATACAATTCTTTCCGTAATGGTACACACAATTAACCTCAAAAAGAAAAACAAGATATATACAATAGTGCAGTACAGTATAGCTGATGAGGGGTGGTGAGATACTTCTATATGGTAGCACTCACATTTACTAGAGCTGACTTGGAGCTCTACCGTAATGTGCGTGGACGGAATGATCCCCGTCTAAGGATTTTGTAGATGTGGACGTCTCTATCGTCTCAAATAGAGTGCAGTATGCAGGACATTTGGAGAAAAGATACAGAGTGATACTTCTATGGTGAAGTAAGTACTATTCCAAATGAAAGGAAAATCAAGTATTGTACTTACATTTACTAGAGCAGGATTTGCTCTAGTATATACAGCCTGGGTGGTACAATCCCCACCTTAGGATGTGATGGTGCCAGGAAGTAAAAAATAATAGATAAGTGAAGTATAATAAAACTTACTATTTATTTAACAAAAGTATAGTATAACAATGGTAGGTAACAATAAAAGGGTTCCACTGACGCGTTTTGCCCGTCCAGGGCTTCTTCAAGAGTGTGTTCCGTTTTTATATACAGTCTAATTATACAATTACTTCCTGGTGTGCGTGGATCCTGGCTTCCTGTAAAGAGACAAAGGGGCTTGGGGGAGAAAGACACAAGCAAAATGCATCTTCACTTGTGTCTCCTGCTCTCCCAGTAATTTAGAGCCGACCGGTGAGAGAAAGACTTTGAATTAAAGGGACACTACAGTCACCAGAACGTCTACAGTTTAATGTAGTGGTTCTGGTGTCTATAGCCTGTCCCTGTATGCTGAGCACTGTAAATGCTACCTTTTCAGAGAAAAGGCAGTGTTTACATTGCTGCCTAGGAACATCTCTAGTGACAGTCACTCAGACGGCCTCTAGAGCTACTTCTTAGTCCAGTGCTGCACAGTGTTCAGCACCTATGCTGAGTATCTCCACGCTCTGCATGGAGGCGCTGAACGCTCCTCATAGAGATGCATGGATACAATGCATCTCTTTGAGGACATGCCGTATGGTGCGGTGAAGCATATGGTTTTGCCACACATGCGCAATAGCCTCCCAATGCTTTCCTATGGGAATTAAATTGGCGTTAACTGAGCTCATCCAGTTGTCAGCCAAAGTGAAGGGCACACCCTTGTTACTCCAAAATAAGCAAGATAACGTCACTTTTTACTGCTGTGCAATAACATACATTTACAATTTCAGTCCAATTATGAAACTTTCCGTAATATGTCAAGGTAGTTGGACTGAAACATTGCTTATAGGCAAATGCATTTCTTTCATGTTTGAGTGAAATAATCTGGAGGGGATTTAACAGTTTAGGAAAACTGACCAATTTGCATAGATTGACCCTTTCAATGTAAGATAAAGGCAACTTGTGCCAATGTTCAAACTCTGCAAAGATGGCCATTAAGATTGGCGGAATATTTAAGTTATATGTGAGGGAGAGATCTCTAGCGACCCCAATGCCAAGATATTTAAGCGCCCTCAATTGCCACCGCAGAGGAACCCCTTAAAGGACCACTATAGTGCCAGGAAAACATACTCGTTTTCCTGGCACTATAGTGCCCTGAGGGTGCCCCCACCCTCAGGGTCCCCCTCCCACCCGGCTCTGGAAGGGGGAAAGGGGAAAAAAAACTTACCTTTTTCCAGCACAGTGAGAAGCACGCAAGCGCCTCTAGTGGCTGTCAATGAGACAGTCACTAGAGGAAACAGGGGAAGACTTAACCCATTTATAAACATAGCAGTTTCTCTGAAACTGCTATGTTTATGAAAAAATGGGTTAACCCTAGCTGGACCTGGCACCCAGACCACTTCATTAAGCTGAAGTCGTCTGGGTGCCTAGAGTGGTCCTTTAAGGGAGTGACGGCAGAGGGCATCCACTCAAGTGAAGGGCACATGATTTAGCCCAATTGATCCTGAGACCCGCCATGTCACGAAATGTCTCTAGCAAGTCAACAAGGGGTGTCAGGGAGCGCTGTGGGTCAGTAATAAAGAGTAACAGATCAGCAGCAAATGCTGTGACTTTCAGTGTAACATCACCCTTCAGTATGCCCCTAAACCCCTGTAGCTTCTCAATAGCTCTCAGTAATGGGTCAATAGCAAGATTAAACAGCAGAGGCGAGAGCAGGCAACCCTGGCGCACACCCCTCCCCAGCGCAAAGTATGGCGAGTTAAGGCCATTTGTGGTAATACAGGTAGTAGGAGGATGTTGTAAATTTTGAATAAAATGGACAAATGTGTGACCGAAGTATCTCAACTTTAGCACCATAATCAGGTGCTACCAGGATTTGCTATCAAAAGCCTTCTCTATGTCAAGGCTAATAAGGGATGAGAGTATGAGTCCAGTCCCCCACACGTGGCATAAGCCACAGCCACGAGAGCTCTGTGGACCCCTGTCACTCCCTGCCTGCCCCGCACAAAGCCCAGTTGGTGAGAGGTTAGTGCAGTCAGAGCAATGATTTTGGTAAGGAGTTTGACGTCCTGATTAAGTAATGATATTGGGCGATAGGAAGCCAAATTCTGAGCATCCCTGTCGAGTTTGGGTATCAGAATTATTCTGGCTTGATTAAGTTCATCTATTGGTAGGCCTTCTAAATATATTTTATTGAACAAGTTTTTGAGAGTGGGACTAAGCTGTTGTTTCAAGGATTTATAGTACTCTGATGTAAAGCCGTCAGGAATTTCGCCTCCATCGCGCAGAGCGTCCATAGGAAAGCATTGAGAAATGCTTTCCTATGGACACTTTGAACGCGCGCGCGGCACTTGCCGCACATGCGCATTCAGCTTCAGTGATGTCGGACGGGGGAGCTGACGTCGGACGGGGAGGAGATGTCACCAGGGCCGAGGTAGCCCGGTGCTGAATTAAGGTAAGTGGCTGAACGGGTTTTTAATCCCTTCAGCGCAACGGGAGGGGGACCCTCAGGGCACTATAGTGTCAGGAAAACCGCTTTGTTTTCCTGACACTATAGTGATCCTTTAAATTCCACAACAAATTTCTCAGCCCCATCTTTGTTAGCACTGGAAGCTTCACCATGTCTCACCACACTGTGTATGCCACTTCTCCTTTTAAACTTTTCAAACCACCCTCTACTTGCCTTAAAAATCTCACTCTCAGCACTTGTTTCAGGGGTGCTTTTCACAAGATCAGCATGCACGTCTTGCTTTTTCACAAGTTATTGCCTCTGATATGCTATCACCGGCTAACTGTTTTTCATTTATCCATATCAATACGAATTTTTCTACTTCTTCTAGTGTCTGGCTTCTTGGTTTTGTAATTGCTTTCACCCCTTTAGCAACATTAGCTCCTTCGATGGCGTCTTTATTTTTTAATATGGTACAAATTGTAGATTTGACCATACCAAACTGTGTTGCTAGATCAGAGACGCGGACACTGCTTTCATGTTTTAAAATCTATTTTTTCAATTCTATTGTCGTTCTCCCAATTTTCCTCTTGGGTTGGCCAATATCCTTGGGACCTATGTTGAGTTTTTGCAGACTGAATGGAGCTCTATGTGAAGACTCAATAGAATTTATTTAAGAGTTAGTGGACCTCTAATTTAAGTCTGAATGCAATGAATGACTGAATGGAATAGCGATGCGTCATACTAAAGAGGTACCAACGAGATTACCATAGAAGTGAATGCAGCATGAGGTGTTTGGGTACCGAGGATCGTTTGCGTACCGAGACATTTTTTTACACAAAATTTAAGTTCGAATTGTTGGTGAACAGGAACGTTCGAGTTCCGAGGTTCCACTGTATTATTTTTGGTATTTACACTTATAGACCATGTGTTAAACCCCAGTTTGGCAGTAACACATGTAGTCTACCGATTAGATCACTATTGGTAACCTAATCTCATGACACATCAGGCAAATCCAAAATAAACTGCACTATCTCCTTTCCTAAAGGCCCAGAAGTGAAAGGGTTAATAAGCTTGCACAAATGCACAGGGCTAAGAAGATGATAAGGCAAGATGACAAAGTAAGAGTTAAATACAAATTGCTGAAATACTGACATCATCAGCCAGATTTTACTTTGTGAAACAAAATACGATGTAACAATTGCCACTGTTTTCTGACAGTAAATATTATGGCATTTGCTCGGCTTGGAACAGGAATGTGTGCCTGGACAAACATCACTTCTCAATGATTGTCAGAAATGTTTGGACTCATCTTCAATATAAAGTTACTTGTTACGGTCTACAAACAGGGGACTGACTGTACAGAAATTATAAAAAAACTCATATCCACACCCTGGAATAGTCCAGTCCCAGAAACTGCTGTAAAGAGTTCCATTGATGTTTACATTCATTCTGAAGTCTTGATCCATACCTGTCTCGTGGAGATGGTCTCTGGCCAGTTCAAACAGCCTGAGATGCATGACCGTGACTGGATTGAAAGAGCCGGTGGCAAGCAGCACAACCTCTGTCCGTTCAGTGCGTTTCTCCATGGCTCGTACTGGTGGCCACAAATTCAAACCAATGGCTTCTGGATTACTGATGAAATCTAGCAATAGGATAAGGAACATTAACAAGAGATAATGCGATTTCACAATTCTGAAATAACTTGCAGTAATATCTGTAACCCACATCCCGTTTATGAGTCAACACAAAAAAATGACTAGCTCCCTTTTGCTATGAAATATGTTTTAATATTGAGTAGAAAGTACAATACATTTGTCTGACAGCTCACTGAAGCCCACAGTAGAGTAAGGGTCAAGTGCAAACTGTTAGATATACATCTCGTCCAACTATGGGACTATATTACTGTTGAAATGTAGCCTTTACTAAGAAATTGCAAAACCCACTTTACAAACCATTACTAATAAACTCACTCTGACCTGTTGGCTGGCTGTTAGGCATATATTGGGATAAGAAGAGATAAAGGTTATAGATAAAGAGGTTTCAGACTATTGATCATACAAACGCCATTGGTGTTAACCCTTTGTGTTCCAGTGCCATACGTACAATACTAAAATAACCCCAATGCCAAATGTAAGGAAACCGAGTATATTCAATCCTCATTCGGTAGTTTCCTCCCGAACCGCCAGAGCATCAGTGAGTATAGCTCTCCGTTCAGTACATGAAATAGACGAAATCCATACGAATACAAATCACTTTATAAGATAATTCCCTTATTAAAGCATACGAATCCCCAAACATCAGCCGAAGTCAAGAAGAAGGGTACAACAGAACTGGCTTTTAATGACCACACACAGGCTTTTATGCAAGTCCCCATGCAAGGGGACATCCCACAGGGAGGGACACAGTATAACCAATCAGTTACAGTAAAACCATAAAACACACCCAGCACAAACATACAATTCCCTCCCCGAGTCCTGGAGATAATCAAGTCTGATAAAGTAATAACTTGATTATCTCCAGGCAGAAAAATAAAAATTTCCCCCAATATTCAGAACACCCCTTTAGGCATGGGGTATCCCCACAAACAATATGTCCCCTGATAGCCCCGATCTGGGTGACCGACATATTCAAATTTCACCCAGATCGGTTCAGGGGTTCTCAAAAAGTGTGGAAGTCCTTTGTGACCGGCTAACCGTGAGCTGGCTGCCCAAAATAGTTCCAGGAGTTTGGGTGGTTTTGCCGGTCTATTCAGTTAAGTGGCAAAAACCCGAATAATTCCACGAATGGATTCCCCTGGCTCTTAGCAGTGATTGCTCCCCTCATTTGAATGCACAAAAGTACCGAACAGCGCTCTTCTAGCTGTTAGGGAAATAAAGATCCAGCGTTCACTTGTTGACACCGGTGTTCGGGAAGTCGAGTGTTCGATTTTAGTTCTAGACACTCGACCAAGTCCCGCTGCCTTTGTTCGCCTGAAAAAAAGATGGCCGCCGTTTTCTCAGCCACGTGGCGTTCGGTAGTACAAACTCTGGCCGCACAGATAGAGAGTTCAATTGACGCATTCTTTGAAGTTTAATGAGCCAGGGGGGTGGTCTCTGTTAGGTAGTTATATCTACCGAATGAATATGGAAGAAATATTATACATAGAGAGGGATTTCTTCACACCAAATAATATACAATAATCCATGAGCTGATTTATGCTCATTATACCAGGACGGCTGCAATCCCAGAATCCTCTTGTTGATTAGAGTTTCAGCAAGATATGCAGGGGCTCTATTAAATCAATTAAAAGGATATACAGAAACATTCACTAAAGAGGGAATTCAAAGTGAATTCCAAAATTAAGCTCTATATAGCTGAACTGGAAAACTCTGTAACACAGCAATACTTTCAGTCTGGCTACTCTGGCCTTAAAGGAACACTTTAGTATTAGGAATACAAAGATATATTCCTAATACTAAAGTGTCTCTCTGCCTTCGTAGCTCTGTCTTCCTAGAAGGGGTTAATAAATCCTTTTGTCTTATCTGATTCCAGAGCCAATGCCTTTCCATGCTGGAATGCACTCCTCCTCCGCTGACGTCAGCCAATGAAGGGGGGACCTAATGAGCAAGTGTGGTGAGTACATTAGGCCTGCCCAATAGGAAAGCTTTGACTCATGCTTTCCTATGGGGTTTTTCTTGGCATTTGATGTCCTCATCCAAAGCATGAGGGTGTCCAGTGTCATTTCACTCCGTGAAACTGCAGAAAGCGCCTCTAGTGGCTGTCTTGTAGAGGTAGTCTTAGCGATGGAATGTAAACATAGCAGTTTCTCTTACATTGCAGAGTTAAGGGAACAGGGACACTGCCCCCAGATAAGATGAAGTGGTCTGGGTGCCTATAGTGTCCCTTTAAACTTGAAATTTACTTTAAATTCTCACTCTAGTAAATAATCCTGATAGCACCTGTTAGAGAAAATATTATCATCACATCCGTCCCTTTCTTTAAATATAATGACATAACATCTTATCAATGAACCTAGTTATACATTTACATTGATCTCGATATACTGTATCACTTGATGTGCTGGAACTAGGACAGTCAAGTCTGACTCAGATACTCGGGCAAAGCATCTGGGGCTTGTAGTCCCAATTGGAGCACCATCTGTTATCTGTGTTTGCTTTATGGTCAAAGGCCCAGTGCATTATACCTACCTGTATGCTTGCAGCCTTTCAAAGCACCCACCAGAAATTTAACATGTTTGGCCACAATAGCCAAACTTGACCAATTTTCCATGTCAGCTGCTTTCTGTTAGCTTATTTTAACTTATAACTCGAAACTCACAACAATTCACTATATTATACTATATAGAAACATAGGAACATAGAATGTGACGGCAGATAAGAACCATTCGGCCCATCTAGTCTGCCCAAATATTAGTTATTCACGTAACTCTGAAATGTAGCACATTAAAACCCTAATAGTTTAAATGAAAATAGCGGATTTGGAGAAATTCTGGATCTCATATCTCTACATTTTGCAGTTTAGTCTGATGAAAATTCCAAGCTAGGAGTCTATGGCTACCAGATTTATAAACACTCCTATTCCCATTGATGTCAAAAGGGGATCAGCCATGCAGAAAGTTTGGAGTAGCCAGTTCGTAAAAATAAAACCACAACTAATGAGAAGCTCTATATTCGTAGTTTCATGGATATTAACCTAGAAGAAGTTCCTTTCATTTAACTTCCCCTGAGTCATTGCCCAGAACGGTACTTACATATTCAGATAACTGAGATCAGTGTTTACCAGGTCTCACAAGAGTCAGGACAACTTTTAACCAGAGTACAACACTACCTATGCCAGTCCATTCACCCCGTTAGATTTGGTTTTATAATAGTGTGCACAGTCCTAAATCTCGAATTAACTAAATTATCTCACAGCAGGTCATTAACAGGCTGTCAACAGTGGTAAACCCCAGGAAACCTTGCAGTGGCAAGTAACTTTTAAGGACTGGATAACAGTATAGGACTTGAACATTTTTGCCACTATAAAAGATAAAAAAAGAGAAACGAAAAATAGAACATAAATGAAGAAAGAGAAAATTGCAAAAAGAAACCAATATGAATAATTTAGCTGAAATTCTATATAGTTCAAGCTTGTCCTTCCAGCGTAACAATCCCAATTTAAAAATAAACGTTTAAACTCACCCCCAGCCCCATTTGCGTTGTGTGTCCCAATGCCATTCTTTGACCAAGTGTTGGCTTCACTATATGATCTCGCTGAGTCCCTGAGTCCCAGGGGGTGTCTTTGCCTAACTAGCAGCCATGGGCGCACATTACATACGTGCAATTTGCACGTGGCAAAGGCAGAGAGAAAGAACGAAACTGTCTTGGACAATCGCAACATAAGAGCAAGGAGCTCAAATCACATCTGCACGCTAGATCCAAACACAGATTAAATTATGCATGCACTGCAAATAGAAAGGAAATATGTGTTATATTGTGTATCATCACCATAACAAATAAACCCACAATGTCACAGAGAATGCCACGGCACAGGTTAACAGACCAAAACTACTGAAATAAGGCGTAACGTGGCACCCAACACTTATTCAATGAACTCATCATCATTCAGCTCAATGTTCTCCAGATTGGCTGATAATCGTCCCGTGAGGTTCACTTAAATCACTAATAACTGAATGTATCCCTTCCATTTTAAAGTGAATCTCATTGCTGCAACGATTACACTAAACTGCAACTGACCAGGCACTGGGTTTCCGGCTATATTTGTGGTAGCATTAGGATGATTTAGGATTAGGAGGGCCTTAAGGAGCACTATAGCATTAGGAATATAGGAATACAAACATGTATTTTAAATATTACAGTGTGCTTCTAACTGTTTTGTTTACCCCCCCCCCCCCCCTCTCAAAATAAAAATATAGTTTTACTTGCATTGTAGCCCTCGCTGCGCTTGTCCCCACAATGCCAGTCTTGCTTCCCTGGCTGAGATCAATGGTACGAATAGCCAATCCATTGCAATTGTAACATTGCCGTATCTAATAAAACAAAGTTAAAACGACAGGGCCACAGCACCCAGACATCCTCATTGTGAGGAGGTGACCTGGGTGCCTTTACGTGTACTTTAAAGTAAGTGGTTCAATATTCCTGGTGTTACTGAGCACTGGGAATGCTTTCTGTGTGAGCAGCAAGGGACGAAGACGAGGAGTTCATTGATTGCACTTATTAAAAGTTCTTTCTCATTTATTTTTTTTCATTAAAGTGTTGGCACAGTGGAACCGAACTGAAGGCTGCGTGTGGTGGTGAACAGCGTTTAGTATTATTTTGGGTGTATTCAGGCTGTTTTCTACTTCTTCCACTACCTACAATTTGCCATGTCCCGGATCACCCAATAAATTTACAATGTCATTAATAAAAATGTAAAGTTTAGAACGGTTTGTGAAAAGGCTACAAATATATAGTTTTTTTTTGTTTTGTTTTTAAAGCTTTCACTAGAGTGCTTTGCATGCCTCAGTTGTCCTGTCACACCCCCTTTGGAACACATTCTCACACTGCTTGTAGTTAAATAGGCATTGAACAATGGCTTTCTCCAGCCCGCGGAGCAAATAATCACAGGAATAAATTAAAAAGTCAGCTTTCATTGAACAATGGTCCAAGAACCTTTCTATATCATTGGAGCAGTTTATAAAATGCTCTCCATTCTTGTGCTTTTGATGTTTGTACAGCAGGGGGCGATGCTGGACAGCAAACCACAGGCAGAAGAATAGTCCATTTGTGTTGGAAGCGCATGGCTGCTTTCCCACACATTGCATTTTTCAGCATCATACTTTGTTTCTGCCCAATCAGCTGTAAAGACGAGTGAAGCTATAACCCAGCATGGGCCACCCAGCACCAGGCATCTGAGCCAAGTGTCCTGTATCTCGCTGCAGAATGCTGCTACTTGCTCAGTGTGCGGCTGTTACCCTCATGGTCTGTGTTATAGTCACTAACTGGGTAGTGGTAAAAATCACTGAAGTCGTGACGGGGGCAATCCAAAAGCTGTGTCGGTAGCAGGGGAGGGGAATTAACCCCTTAAAAAACTTTTGAGGCCTTTGTTTGCTGTGCGTCTTTTGGCACCAAAGGGGTTACTGGAATGTCACCAAGAGGGGGAAACCTATGGCCATGATGTCATAGTGACCTCAACCTGCAGAACACCAGGTAAAGTAAATGCTAGCCACATCTATTCACATCGTAACTAATTTCCTAGCAGCCAAATATATAGCATGTCAATTACTGTACAGGTATGTGTTCAACTTACCCTCATAGTCTGTTTTATAGTCACTAACTGGCTACTAGTAAAAATCACTAAAGCTTTGGTTGGAACAATCAGAAAGCTGTGTCTGTGGTAGATGTGTGTGTGTGCTAGATGTCTGTGGTAGATGTGAGTGCGTGTGTGCTAGATGTCTGTGGTGACTGTCTGTGGAAGATGTGTGTGGTAGATGTGTGTGTGTGCTAGATGTCTGTGGTGACTGTCTGTGGTGACTGTCTGTGGTAGATGTGTGTGGTAGATGTGTGTGTGTGCTAGATGTCTGTGGTAGATGTGAGTGCGTGTGTGATAGATGTCTGTGGTGACTGTCTGTGGTAGATGTGTGTGTGCTAGATGTCTGTGGTGACTGTCTGTGGTAGATGTGTGTGCTAGATGTCTGTGGTGGCTGTGTCTGGTGGCTGTTTCTGTGGTAGATGTGTGTGCGTGCTAGATGTCTGTGGTGACTGTGTCTGTGGTAGATGTGTGTGCTAGTTGTCTGTGGTGGCTGTGTGTGGTGTCTGTGTCTTGTGGCTGTTTCTGTGGTAAATGTGTGTGTGCTAAATGTCTTTGGTGGCTGTGTCTGTGGTAGATGTGTGTGTGGTGGCTGTTTCTGTAGTAGATGTGTGTGTGCTGGGTGTTTGTGGTGACTGCCTGTGGTAGATGTGTGTGCTAGATGTCTGTGGTGGCTGTGTCTGGTGGCTGTTTCTGTGGTAGATGTGTGTGTGTGCTAGATATCTGTGGTGACTGTGTCTGTGGTAGATGTGTGTGCTAGGTGTCTGTGGTGGCTGTGTGTGGTGTCTGTGTCTTGTGGCTGTTTCTGTGGTAAATGTGTGTGTGCTAAATGTCTTTGGTGGCTGTGTCTGTGGTAGATGTGTGTGTGGTGGCTGTTTCTGTGGTAGATGTGTGTGTGCTAGATATCTGTGGTTGCTGTGTCTGTGGTAGATGTGTGTGGTGAAAAGGTAAATAGCAGAGATCTCACCAGGACCCAGACCAGCTGTAACTACATGACGCAGGCAAGGTAAAACAAAGGAGGGGTAGGAGAGAAAAACGGGATGGAAAAACACAGTCTCCAAAGCTCGCGAGAGTCGTGGGAGGCAAAAACCCTGCAAACGCGCCCAAAAACTACTACTGAACGGGTATAAGGTCGTTCGTAGGCGGAACACATGCAGTAAGGCAAAACCAACGAACGGGTCAAAACAGCCGAAGCGAGAGTTTCTGGCGTTCGTGCGAGCAAACTGCCAAACGCCAGGCCCACACTGGTCGAACGGAGCTGAACATGTGAGTCAAAAAAGGTGCCAAAAGGCCCGGGACTCCAGTGAGCCCCAGAAACAGAGGGAAAGACACAGGGGTACCAGAGGAAACAGAACAGAACAAGACAAGGGCAGAACCATACAGCAGGTACCAAAAAACAGAAACCTCAAGTAGGGGTAAAAGACAGAGAAAAGTGAGACAGACGTACAACAAAAACACCCAAACAGATAAAAATAGCCTTTACCTGGTCTGGGACCCCAAGTCTATCATAAGCATAGTAAATACATGTAATATAACAGGAAAATAGTAACAAATCACAAAATTTAACAAAACCCACAGAACAGAGAAAATTAGGTACTTATCTGACTGTGGAGCAGCAAAGAAAGAGGAAGATCTGAGGGTGGTGCCTGCTATTATACTGGGACTTGACTAGGAGTGGCCTATGTTACTATGTATGCATTATTTTTCATTCTGTTTTGTATTCTTTGCTGCTATTGGTGGACAGTAAAGAAAGGGATATGCAATATTCGCCTTCGTGTCTTGTAATAAAATCACCAGTCAGCAAACAGTTAAAGGATCACTATAGGGTCAGGAACACAAACATGTATTCCTGACCCTATAGTGTTAACACCACCATCTAGCCCCTCAGAAAAACAAGCAGTCTGCTGACATGTGGTAGCCTGATCCAATCACAATGCTTCCCCATAGGATTGGCTGAGACTGACATAGAGGCAGATCAGGGGCAGAGCCAGCACGATTCAAACACAGCCCTGGCCAATCAACATCTCCTCACAGAGATGAATTGAATCAATGAATCTCTATGAGGAAAGTTCAGTGTCTGCATGCAGAGGGAGGAGATACTGAATCACAGGATGCTGTGCACAGTGCCGCCCTGTGCTCTGCTGACAGCAGATCTGAGTGGATGCCTCCATCAACTCCGAAGTCCCTCTGGTTCACTCTGAGTGACTGCAACTGGAGGTGTTCCTAGCATTCAATGTTAACACTGTATTTTCTCAGACAATGCAGTGTTTACATGAGAAAGGCTGCAGGGAGCTATAGTTCTCACCTGAACAACCTCATTAAACTTAAGTTGTTCAGGTGACTATAGTGTCCCTTTAAATTTTATTATATTTAGAGAGGCTAGGGGGGCTAGTTGGTGGTTTTAACACAATAGGGTCAGGGTTACATTTTGGGTTCCTTTAAGAGCTCGCTCAACGTTTCCTTGCTTCTCAATGACTGAGCAGAGCAGCCAGTGTTCTAAGTAACTGACTGAGTTCCAGACCATGGGGGAGCACCACAGGACCACCATTGATCCTGCCCAGAGTTTACTGAACCACCAGGGATAACGCCCCTCCTGCCAAAAGGTCAGCAGGAGGGGAATTAAAAACACACAAACACTCAGACACTAAACACAGGCATATTCAGCTTCCCTCCCACCACATACAGCTTTATGTCCCCTCTGAGCCCCCCTCCTCCCCCCCAAAAAAACCCATACAGAAACAGAGTCCAGGATTCTGGGAGGGGTCATGGGCAATCTTAATCCAGCTCTGTTTTCACAGACTGAGTTCTAGTCACAGTAAATGTAGTTTAAAGACACATTACTGTGAAACTCTGTTATACTAAGAAACCCAAAATACAATGTTTTTAGCAAAAAGGCGTGCTGAACTGTTAAACCGCTGTTATGTTCACTGTAGCCACAAATGTATATGACAGAGTTAAAGCATTTCCCATTCCATATATTATTTATAATGATAGTCACAGTGTATCCGGTGACCATGTCTATTCCCGAATGCTCTGACTCTGAACAAAGCTGCACAATGATCCACTACCTCCTGGCACACATAGCCCATCACCTCAGCCGCTGGCTCCCCCACAAGAACCGAACCAGACTGTAAGTTATTTTCCAGAAGCCTCAGCATCATTGATATAAAAATGCCCTTTAATCGGAGAATGTCCTGCACACAAAGAAGGAATTTGCTGTTAGTCTGAACGTCTAATTCCAGTCTCTTGTTTTCGCTTTCAGACTGGTAACAGTGCTGCTCTCTGGCGCCGCTCTCTTGGTCCCTCAGGTATACGTATTACAAAGGTTTGTGTTGTCACACAGTAATTTATCATAGCATCATAAATTACTGGGACAAAATAAATACCACTCTAATCTCAATATAATTGGTGAAAGTAATACTGAGTTTCAAACTGTGTCAAATCTTCAACAATTTTTGTTGTGGACTACATCTCTGACAATGCTCTTACAGCTATAATGTTGGCAACGCATTAGCAAAGGTGTGCCAGGAGTTGCCTATCCCTAGTTAAAAGTGTGTAATTCTGTTGTCAATTCTACATTTAGTAGATAAACCTATGTCTGAAATTGATCTAGGCACAAAAAGAGTCCCTGCTGTGTTTATTTGCTGATATTACCAAAACGGGATTTTCCCATAGCAGGAAACAGACGTTTCTCGGTTTCTCAATCAAATATACAGGGAGTGCAGAATTATTAGGCAAGTTGTATTTTTGAGGATTAATTTTATTATTGAACAACAACCATGTTCTCAATGAACCCAAAAAACTCATTAATATCAAAGCTGAATATTTTTGGAAGTAGTTTTTAGTTTGTTTTTAGTTATAGCTATGTTAGGGGGATATCTGTGTGTGCAGGTGACTATTACTGTGCATAATTATTAGGCAACTTAACAAAAACAAATATATACCCATTTCAATTATTTATTATTACCAGTGAAACCAATATAACATCTCAACATTCACAAATATACATTTCTGACATTCAAAAACAAAACAAAAACAAATCAGTGACCAATATAGCCACCTTTCTTTGCAAGGACATCCATGGATTCTGTCAGTGTTTGATCTGTTCACCATCAACATTGCGTGCAGCAGCAACCACAGCCTCCCAGACACTGTTCAGAGAGGTGTACTGTTTTCCCTCCTTGTAAATCTCACATTTGATGATGGACCACAGGTTCTCAATGGGGTTCAGATCAGGTGAACAAAGAGGCCATGTCATTAGATTTTCTTCTTTTATACCCTTTCTTGCCAACCACGCTGTGGAGTACTTGGACGCGTGTGATGGAGCATTGTCCTGCATGAAAATCATGTTTTTCTTGAAGGATGCAGATTTCTTCCTGTACCACTGCTTGAAGAAGGTGTCTTCCAGGAACTGGCAGTAGGGCTGGGAGTTGAGCTTGACTCCATCCTCAACCCGAAAAGGCCCCACAAGCTCATCTTTGATGATACCAGCCCAAACCAGTACTCCACCTCCACCTTACTGGCGTCTGAGTCGGACTGGAGCTCTCTGCCCTTTACCAATCAGCCACGGGCCCATCCATCTGGCCCATCAAGACTCACTCTCATTTCATCAGTCCATAAAACCTTAGAAAAAATCAGTCTTGAGATATTTCTTGGCCCAGTCTTGACGTTTCAGCTTGTGTGTCTTGTTCAGTGGTGGTCGTCTTTCAGCCTTTCTTACCTTGGCCATGTCTCTGGGTATTGCACACCTTGTGCTTTTGGGCACTCCAGTGATGTTGCAGCTCTGAAATATGGCCAAACTGGTGGCAAGTGGCATCGTGGCAGCTGCACGCTTGACTTTTCTCAGTTCATGGGCAGTTATTTTGCGCCTTGGTTTTTCCACACGCTTCTTGCGACCCTGTTGACTATTTTGAATGAAAGCTTGATTGTTCGATGATCACGCTTCAGAAGCTTTGCAATTTTAAGAGTGCTGCATCCCTCTGCAAGATATCTCACTATTTTGACTTTTCTGAGCCTGTCAAGTCCTTCTTTTGACCCATTTTGCCAAAGGAAAGGAAGTTGCCTAATAATTATGCACACCTGATATAGGGTGTTGATGTCATTAGACCACACCCTTCTCATTACAGAGATGCACATCACCTAATATGCTTAATTGGTAGTAGGCTTTCGAGCCTATACAGCTTGGAGTAAGACAACATGCATAAAGAGGATGATGTGCTCAAAATACTCATTTGCCTAATAATTCTGCACTCCCTGTAGTAATCGTGAATAAAAGATGCAAGTGTGGATCGCAGAGAGGATATAACATTAGACAAATCTGTACAGTGGAAAAAAACAGCTCTAAGGCGACTTAGTCAATGACAAGACTGTGCAAAGATTATAGAGTTTATCTATTGAGACTTAAAGAAAAGAGATTTCACCTGTGGAGGAAGAAACTGTTTTCTACAGTGAGAATTTAAAAAAAAAAAAAAAGGATGCATAGGGAAATCTTGTAATTATCATACATCTAAAAAGGTCTGAATGTTTTGTGGCAAACCAAGATATTCTGCTTTATACTAGCTAAAGGGATATTCATTAAAGGGATACTCTACTGCAGTGTGTGGGTGGGTGGAGGGGGGGGGATTAAAATTGCATGTATGCATTTAATGACATTTTTTAAATTGGGGGGTATAACTAAAATCAATTTGCAAAAAAAAAAAACAACTTCTGTAAAGACTTTGCAATGCCCTCCTCTTCTAACCCTTCCCAGACTTTCCGTGTCTGTCTAATCACAGACTTCCTAATGCCGCTCAATGAGAAGTCTGTGCAAGACAGGTGCTCTTGGTGTTTGCTGCCTCTTGAGTTTAGCTCCACTGAGCTCAACAAACCAGGAAATAACATGACCTATTGTCTGATTGACAGCCAGGGAATGTAAAAAGGTAATTTAGAATAGTGCTAATTTCTCTTGAAAGCAGCAGGTTTTGTAAAATGTAACATGGGGACACACTATTCACACATAAGGCACTGTAGCAAGATGAAGTGCTTTAGGGGTCTGGAGTGTTTCTTTAATAAAGTACTGCATTTGGTTTGGTAATTGTGGTGTGCATCCTGGGTATTAGCAGCTTGTTGATCCAATGAAAATTCTGAATGCCACTTTCAAGTCAGGAGGGAATTCCCCCTCTTTTTTCCCTGGCACAAATGAAAATGAATATCCATTAAGGACATTATGGCACTTGATAATCACTACAACTTTCCGTCCATAATATATATAAATGGCTGTACTCACGGTTTTCCATAAAATATAAACTTTTAATAACGCTTTTAAAAGATCAACATTTCAGTCCTACTTGTGGACTTTCATCAGGATCATCATGGTATGATATGATGATCCTGATGAAAGTCCACAAGTAGGACTGAAACGTTGATCTTTTAAAAGCCTTATTAAAAGTTATATTTTAAGGAAAACCGTGAGTGCAGCCATCTATCACAACCATTTGGATGTTTGGAGCCCTGGTAGTGCACCCGGTCTTGGAAATTGGAGTCTGAGTGCAAGGTACAGTGTGTGTGTGTATATATATATATACATATATATATATATATATACACGGAGCCTGTAGTTGTGGGAGGGGTTGATCCGGCCTATATAAACCCAAACCTACCTCCATACCGGGCCGACGTCAATGGGTCACTTCCAGTTTTGCCAGAAGAATTCCCCTCGTGGTTTCCCAATCCCAGTTACAGCCAGGCCTACCATCTCCAGACGCCGCCTCTGTCTCAGGCATTTTGTGTGTTTTGTATGGTAGCCGTCCTACCTACTTCCTGGCTTCAGCAGTTTGTGTGTTCGTGTGGTAGCGGTCCTACCTACTTCCTGGCTTCAGCAGTTCGTGTGGCAGCGGTCCTACCTACTTCCTAGATTCAGCAGTTCGTGTGGCAGCGGTCCTACCTACTTCCTGGCTTCAGCAGTTCGTGTGGCAGCGGTCCTACTTCCTGGCTTCAGCAGTTCGTGTGTTTTGTGTGGTAGCCGTCCTACCAACTTCCTGGCTTCAGCAGTTCGTGTGGCAGCCGTCCTACCTACTTCCTGGCTTCAGCAGTTTGTGTGTTTTGAGTGGTAGCCGTCCTACCAACTTCCTGGCTTCAGCAGTTCGCGTGGCAGCCGTCCTACCTACTTCCTGGCTTCAGCAGTTCGTGTGGTTTGTGTGGTAGCGGTCCTACCAACTTCCTGGCTTCAGCAGTTCGTGTGTTTTGTGTGGTAGCCGTCCTACCAACTTCCTGGCTTCAGCAGTTCGTGTGGCAGCGGTCCTATTTCCTGGCTTCAGCAGTTCGTGTGGCAGCGGTCCTACCTACTTCCTGGCTTCAGCAGTTCGTGTGTTCATGTGGCAGCCGCCCTACCTACTTCCTGGCTTCAGCAGTTCGTGTGGCAGCCGTCCTACCTACTTCCTGGCTTCAGCAGTTCGTGTGTTCTTGTGGCAGCGGTCCTACCTACTTCCTGGCTTCAGCAGTTCGTGTGTTTTGTGTGGTAGCCGTCCTACCAACCTCCTGGCTTCAGCAGTTCGTGTGGCAGCCGTCCTAGCTACTTCCTGGCTTCAGCAGTTTGTGTGTTTTGTGTGGTAGCCGTCCTACCAACTTCCTGGCTTCAGCAGTTTATGCGGCAGCCGTCCTACCTACTTCCGGGCTTCAGCAGTTCGTGTGGCAGCGGCCCTATTTCCTGGCTTCAGCAGTTCGTGTGGCAGCGGTCCTACCTACTTCCTGGCTTCAGCAGTTCGTGTGTTCGTGTGGCAGCAGTCCTACCTACTTCCAGGCTTCAGCAGTTCGTGTGTTTTGTGTGGTAGCGGTCCTACCAACTTCCTGGCTTCAGCAGTTCGTGTGGCAGCGGTCCTATTTCCTGGCTTCAGCAGTTCGTGTGGCAGCGGTCCTACCTACTTCCTGGCTTCAGCAGTTCGTGTGTTCGTGTGGCAGCCGTCCTACCTACTTCCTGGCTTCAGCAGTTGGTGTGTTTTGTGTGGCAGCGGTCCTACCTACTTCCTGGCTTCAGCAGTTCGTGTGTTTTGTGTGGTAGCCGTCCTACCTACTTCCTGGCTTCAGCAGTTCGTGTGTTTTGTGTGGTAGCCGTCCTACCTACTTCCTGGCTTCAGAAGTTCGTGTGTTTTGTGTGGTAGCCGTCCTACCAACTTCACGGCTCAGGTTGTATTTCGAGTTCCAGCAAGGTTTTTGGACCGCCGCATACCTGCATTCTGAAACGGCACTTGAACGCTGGTTCCCATGCTTTCGGGGGTTATCGGACATAGCCTTACTTCAGTCCAGAGAAATGGCGAGTACTTTGCTGCTCAGGTCCTGATTCCTGGGCCCCTGCTACGGCGTACCATGAGTACCAGGACCTGCTTGATGCAGGCTCTATGGCTACAGTTCTTACTCTGATCCGATTTTCGGCAAAACACTTACGTTACATAAATCACTGTAAATACCCACGTGAAAACCTGCTGCCCGTAGCAGCCGACAAACATTCTTTCTTACAAGCCTGCACTGGCTCAGTTAAATACGCTCTAGTTAAACATAGTGACAATGTGTTTGCTTGTCTTAAAGTTAAGGTTTTATATAATTTCTGCATATCAGATTCCATCTGCATGTTCATATTCTTATGTTTTCCTCAAAAATAAATAAAAAAAGTGTACCTACCAATTACTCAGTATTCGTATAGTACAGACCCATACGGCTAAATCTCTCCTTCGGCTTAATCCCTGTTCCCTTGCTGGAACTCGAAATACAACCTGAGCCGTGAAGTTGGTAGGACGGCTACCACACAAAACACACGAACTGCTGAAGCCAGGAAGTAGGTAGGACCGCTGCCACACAAAACACACCAACTGCTGAAGCCAGGAAGTAGGTAGGACGGCTGCAACACGAACTGCTGAAGCCAGGAAGTAGGTAGGACGGCTGCCACACGAACTGCTGAAGCCAGAAAGTAGGTAGGACGGCTGCCACACGAACACACGAACTGCTGAAGCCAGGAAATAGGACCTTCGGCTTAATCCCTGTTGTTTAGGTCTATACAAACAACATAGCTCAACACCACCACCTACCGTGGGAACCGCAAACTACACCGTAATACTAAATATATCATAAACGGTGCACAGTCAGACGATGACTTATCTTATAATCATGTATTACGTTTATCATTTACACAGTAATCAAATGTTGGTTTGCTCTGGTAACATAGACAGTGCCAGTAATCCTTTTGGCGGGAAATGAAAATGGTTAATAATGCAGCATTGTCTTGTACAAAATTCACTTGCATGTTCATTATGTATGTTCAGAATCCAGTTCAATACTTTCTCATTTCCCAACCAGTCACATAGATTTCTCTTGTATACACAGTACGTTAAGACCTGGGAGGGGTTTGGGGCATGCCGCAGTTATAACCTTCGCAGTTTAGAAATACTTATTAAAGCAGGCGTCTTAGGGGTTAATGTCAGTAAAAAGGGTATAGGTAAACCCGGTATAGAGTCTTGACATGTCATAAATATGGTTAATTCCAGTCAGAACCACTACCGGTCTACTGTACCGGCTCAGACGGATGCACAAGAGTCTACCGATATACGTGATCTGTACCTCATATATACAACCCGCAAATTACATTGTTTAGTAGTTCTGGTGTCCAGATAACGCAAACACTAGACTAAGCTCCTCTCAGTTCAAAGAAGCAATAGGCCGTACTAACCTACTAATACAATCATACACAACAAACATGCTAATACATGCAAACCAAAGTAAAACAACTGTAACATTCACTAGGGAACCCTAACTTGCAGACAGGACAGAGTAGAGAGAATTGCAACACCGATCCTTAGAATGGTCGGGTGATGCAAAAAGGATAGTCAAAACACGAGCCGAGGTCAAGGGAAACAGAGACACGAAATAACGAGAGTCAAAGCCAAATATCAGTAACCAGGAAATCCAAATAACAAGTGCAACGCTCAATGGTAAACCAAAGACCACAACGGGGCACTGAGTCAAGGGAGAGGTTAGCTTATATACCCACAGGGTGTGTCTGATTGGCTAATCTCCAATTACTGTTAACCACAACACGTGGGAGGAGTTTCTTCTCTACCTTGGGGTCTCTGAGGTCATCACTGTATGCCAGTCTGGAGATGCCGCTTGCTGTGATGAGGTAAGCAAGGTCGCCACGAGCAGCGCAGGGGCAGTGGACCTGACAACAACAACCATATGCATACGTTGCTAAGAGTATATAATATATAGTACAGAAAACACATATTAAAGGACCACTATAGGCACCCAGACCACTTCAGCTTAATGAAGTGGTCTGGGTGCCAGGTCCAGCTAGGGTTAACCCTTTTTTTTAATAAACAGAGCAGTTTCAGAGAAACTGCTATGTTTATAAATGGGTTAATCCAGCCTCTAGTGGCTGTCTCATTGACAGCCGCTAGAGGGCTTCCGCGCTTCTCATTGTGAAAATCACAGTGAGAAGACGCCAACGTCCACAGGAAAGCATTGAGAATGCTTTCCTATGGACTGGCTGAATGCGTGCGCAGCTCCTGCCGCGCATGTGCATTGAGCCGAAGAGGAGGAGAGGAGGCTGAGAGCTCCCCGCCCGGCGCTGGAGAAAGAGGTAAGTTTAACCCCAGGTGATGTTAAACTCACATTAGGCACATTTTAAATACATCGACTACCAATCAGACACGTCTATGTCAATCACTACAAAAGCGAGTCAGGTTAAGCCAGTAGTATGTCTACTAAAAGATACGGTAAACTAGAGTTTCCCACTTGTTTCATAGCAATGTGGAGGCCTCACTCCACCTTCATTACGGCCACTGCATACAATTCGAACCCTTATCATTTACTAGGGACTTGCCTCTGCATGCCTGACCCTCACAAGGTCCTCCATGAGCATTCAATCATACGTTATGCAATTTAATATTACATAGTTTTAATGATGTTACTTTAGGTTTCAAGATATCCATTGGGATATTGACTGTCATGCTATCTGTTTTTCTGTCTAGAAGTGTTACACCTGTAGGCATCTTAGGATACAGACTATTTGCGATCCCAAGCCTAACAATTATAATGTTTATCATAAACCACAATCAGACTCTCCTCTTCACATTCAGTTCATAAAGCGCACATTTTTTCCTTACTAACTGCATTTCCCTTCTAATTTTTTTTTTTTCGGTGCTTTCCAGTCCATCTCTCTCCGAATCTATCCAGGTTGTGCACGCACGTATGTTTACATTCACACTCATTAAGCGAGGCCAAGTTCCCACCTCTAAAAAAACTTCCCACAGAGGTTTTGTGCAACGGCCCAACTCATAGTTAGTGCCTCGCATACTCTTCTAAAGGGTCGCAGTCAGGGCCTTACATGTCATGGCCACTCATATTGACTCTTTTACAGCCACTGAGAAGCCAACAGCCAGCTATAACACATCGTAGCTATTAGCCCACAAGGCCCAAATCAAAGGTAGAGCCTCTTACTGCCACTTGGCAACTAGCAGGGACTCTCCGGTTACTAGGTAGTTAATATCTTTGCTTATAGGCACTAGTAAGCAACCCAGCTCTACACAAGGGATATTATCAATTTGCATCAAAGTTTTGCATAAATTACTTATTGCAAATTCCCTTACAAGAAGCTGCAAGAAATAGTTCCAGGTGACATTCTATCTCTAAAAAGACACTCCAACCCTGTCACCCCAGGTGCCCCGCAGAAGCCCCTGTCCCCGCCACTCCAAAGGCTTTGGACCTTGCTTAAATTTGACGGTTGAGCTTAAGGTTCGGAGGTACTATCTTCCGGGCCACGTCTGGAAAGGCTACATATACCCTGAACAAGCTGGTCATGCTCTAGAGGGGCTCACGCCAGTATATTAGTTAACTCACCATAGTAATCATCCAATTTCAGTCAGCCATAGCACCACTTCCCATATTCAATACTAGGTCCTCCCTAAGCCATTTCGACTTTTACAATACACAATTATATTAAGTCCTCTATATGGCGAGGTGTCGCAACCAACTGGATTAAAGTTTCGTCAGGCTTAAATTTGCATATATACACTTGGTTAAACAACTTAAATTTTAACTGGTATAAACATTGATTTAGTTATTCGTTATGTAAGGGTCGTTGGTGTTGGTTACTACCAAAACATTTGTAGTACGATAATACTATCGCAATTATCAGTACACGTTACGTTCCACGTAAACACTTTCATCATAGGTTCTCATTAACATTACTTTTCTGTCTTTTTAACACCACTACTCCCTTATCCGTCTCCGTGCTATCCAAATTCATATTAGGCCAACACGTATCTGGCAATTACCTGCCAACAATACAGTCTTGTTACATGTTCACATATAATCTACAGTTTATCATTATTAGAATTTTATGTATGACATACTGTATTGGTTTTCATCTTGTATTATATGCTATTAAACGTATATATGACACCTGGTTAATTCTAGTTCATTTATTGTGCCAACATCTTCCTTTTTTAACAGGATTACTCCAGTAGACTACTTAACTAACCCTCAAATTGTTTTGCAAATGTATTTATTGGGTTGTCACTCAGATGTTTACTACAATTTTACCTTAGGTACCATAGGGGGCAAGTGTTCGGTAGACTACACTTTCTCAATGTACATATAATGGTTAACACTTTCATGAGGTGTATAATTATGACCTTTGGAGATCACCCATAGTTCACCATCACCAAGTCTCACCATTCTATTACACCTTATTACAGGTAAGTAGGCCTTCACGACATCTACGCTTATCTCGACAGGTTAGGTTCAATAGATCAGATATCACTCAACATTATCACACCTATCAGATATGCAATAACCCCTTATGGTCGGGACGTCAAGAGGGTTGGCTTTTTATACTTGACCCACGCATGGTCCACCCTATGTATACATTCTACCATTTCAATCAATTTATGTTTTTCATGCTCATTTACATTCTTTCTCTACGTTTTCGGTCTAAAGGGAATCGACTTCTCTTATGTTGGCTGTTATGTTGGTACAGAAGTACCCCACTTGTTCTCCCTAAGAGACATTAACTTGGCCATCTTTCAACAGTACCTCCGGCCTTTTCGAGATCTACCCCATAGTAGCAATAGCCAAGGGTGGGGCCACCTTTGGTTGGGAAAGATAGCATGCTACACAGACAACACTACGACATGCAAAATATTTAACAAGGACAGGTCCTCATCCCTAACAATCATGAGTCTCGTCAGGAGACTCACATGGTTGGCAGCAACACAACACTTTCACTTGTACTGTGAACACGTACCGGGCAATCATAACATAGCAGCTGACGCCCTCTCGTTTTAACCTACAGGTTTTTTTACAAGTTCATCCCACAGCCGGGGGAATCCCTAACAGGCCACCGCTATTCCAGGAACTCATCCTGGACTAGCAATACTCAAGACGCACGGGAAATACTATCACAAACTGTACTTTCAGCTAAGACCAGGCGCTCATACAGTCAAATAAGGCAGTGTAGATAGATAAGGTATGCGATACTACCAAATACGCAAAAATAGCTGACCTAAACAAAGTAGGGAACCACTACGTTATGCCAATCTAAAACAAATCCAATGGGGCCAACTGTGGACATACAACTGTTCCTCACAGATTACAAATGATACCTAGTTCAATTACTCGACCATTCTCATCTAACCTTGATAGGTCAGGACAAAAGCGCTCCCCTACCAAGCTTACAGGGTAACCCACTGACAATAATTTGTTGTATATGTAAATACTCTATTTTTTCCATATTTATTTTTTATTGGTTTTGGTAGTACTCCAGTGCATGGCACCGTGAAATAATAAAACATTTACAGTGTTG